AACAAGTTTGGTAATTTCACTAATGCATATAGGAAATTAAAGTTTGTTTTAGAGATTGCTAATTTCTTATTATATAAGCCAATGAGAATTTTGGGTATTTTTATTCTTTTATTACATTAAATCAAATTATTAATAACCTTATCTGTAAGGATTGTTTATTTATTTGAGTTTGCTATGCTAACACATAATAATTATTTAATTTTTTTTCATAATACTTAAACAAAATTTTTATATTATTTAAAAATATTTAAATAAATTTTTGAGTCATATAAATTTTTTAATGATTAACAGTAATGATTGATTATTTGTTATTATTCAAACCGTCACTTATTATTTTGTACCATATGGTACTGACGTGATATACTGACTTATCATAGTTGATGATAATGTGATATATACTATACGTTAGTACCATGTAAATATAAAAATAACAAATGATATTTTAATTAATGACAATTACTTAATCATTAGTAATAAAAGCTTATTTGGTACAAAATAGAAGTACAAAAGCACTTAATTGAGCACTATAAAAGAATAAAAACTTATTTAAATTTTTTGAATAATTCATGAACTTTTTAAAACATATTATGTCTTTTGTTTTAGGTATGTTCTACTTATTTTTCAATGATTATTTGATAATGGTTTTAATTTTTACTTGTGTCTTTAATTATCTAATTCAATTAATTGTCAATAGGACATAAATAAGACTCACAAGCCTAGTTAATAATTTCAAACGAAGTGTTGAAGAAATTATCCTTTTTTGATGAAAGATTATATTCAACTTTGACACTACCATAAGCTAGTGTAGGTCTCTATTTTATCAAAGAATGATTTGTTAAATGTTCATTTTGTTAAATTCTTCCCCCATTTTCATAGGCAGACCTACATTGAAAGGAATTAGAATTTCATATAATTAATAATATTAATGAATCCATTAAATTTTTTATAATTTTATAAAAAATAACTTCAAATCAAAACAAATTTATTAAAAAGTAATTTATACTAACATTTAAATGTCGAGAGGACCATTTCCAAGATCCCTAACCATACAATTCAATTAATGAAGAGTGAGATGGTATAAAAAGGAATACTGTAGTTAGAGAGAGAGAGATATATATATATATATATATTTTTTTTTGTATTTTTATTTTTATTATATTTTGAAAAAAACATCCCTCCTTTATATACTTAACATTCTCTTCTTCCTAGAGTAAGAAAGACTTCGAAATTAATTTATTATATCTTTCATAAATTTGGTGAGAATAAAACATTAAATCAAAAAATTATTTTTTAAAATAGAATTTGAACTAAGTTTAACAAGTGCCTATAGATAGGCACAAGTTAACTCACTTATTAAATCAATAGCAAATTCATGATAGATTAAAAAACAAATAAAAAATCACATATTTCACTTTTGTCCTATATTCTCTTCCCTACTGTAGACATTTAACACTATTTTAGTAGATTTTTTTATTAAATATAATATTTTGAGAAAGAAATTCAAACTTAACTATTTAATTATTGAAATAAATGCATTTGTGATTGAGTCTAAAGTATTATAAGACTTTTTGTAAAATTTTCACTTCTCATTTCTCTTTCCCTTTTCTTTTTACGGCTCAAAATAGTTCTTATTGTTCTTCAAAGAAAAGGAGAAGAGTACAGCCGAAGCATTTGCCCTGCTTTCTGCAGAAACAGAGGAACCCTTTCCCATCCATTTACCAAAACTTCCCACAAATGAGATCAATCCCAAAGGCGAAGTTTCCAGATATCAATGGACATTGCTGTCCCCTTGTTCAAGATGATCATCACAGTCACATGTCCAGTTCATGCCGAATAGTATGATCTATCCTTGGAATTAATGTTCATCACTTAAAAACGCCATAAGTGGATTCCAGAGAGGAACGGACTATGAACTCACAGTACTAATCTTCATGCCGAATAGAAGACAATACGTATAAACAATAAAAATAGTGAAAGGAAAAAAGAACCAAGAATTTGATCAACAATATTATATAGATTCTTACAGTAAAACGTTTTTCTGTTTGGAATTTGCAGCACACGAGAGAGAGATTCGTTCATGTTTGCATGAAAGGAAAGTGAACCGAAAGTTCCGAAGACAGAAACTTTAAAGCAAAAGGGAGGCAGTTTCTGGCAAATCCTTGGACAGGATTTTCTTGCTTAATTTCGTTTCTAATGAATCTTCCTTCAGTTCTTGTTCCAGTATCAATACCATTTAATGACAAGAAGAAAAAGGATAAGGACGAAGTGAAAGGTTGGAGAGCAGTGCAAGCAGAGCTGACAGCAGAAATGAACCACATGAAACGCAAACGCGTATCTCGGAGACCTTAAAACCCAAATCACTGGACCGAAACCTTTGATTCAAGCTGAATACAATGACCATCTTCCTGGTAAAGTCATATTTACAGTTTAAGGTCTCCAGGATATTGGTTCAAGCTCCGTGAGGTTCATTATGCTTTCAGTTCTTTGCTTGCACTGATCCGAATCGTTGCACTTCTTCCTGATCCTTTTTCCCACCATCTTTCAATAGGCATTCACATAGCAAAAAGGGTTGAGAGCAAAGCAAAGCGAAAAGAAAAAGAATGGAAGCAAGAAATCGCTAAAGATTTGCCAAGAAAATAAAACCGCCTCAGTCTTGTTGTGGGGAACTTTCGGTTCAAATTCCTTGCTTGCAGCCATGAATCATATGAACAGAAACACCAGTCGGCGTGGGACAAGAGTGCAAGTTTTCATCTCTTCAATTTATAAAGGAGTCTGAAAACCATTGTTTTAAGAGCAAGTTGTATTTGATGCATAGGTTGTTTACAATCCAAGTTACTGTTGTATCTGTCCAATCGAGGGTCACGAGTGGGACGCAATCTAACAATATCAACCAATGACTAATCAACACGGAAAACAATGGATATGTCGACAAAGCCGACAGAGATGAGACGTTTGGGTCCATTCAAGCAAAGAGCAACTCGTTAGGCTGTCGTGCGTGTTTGGATGATTATGACAACTGGGTTTCCTTGAGCCGTTCGAGAGGAAAAAGAGATTCCGATCGAACTTCAAAAAAACTTTGTCTTCTATGAGTAATTTTACGTTTTGGTATATAATTTGGGTAATAAAAACAATACTTACCCATCTTATAAGTTCAAATTACAATGCCATACTACATCAATAACTTCAATAATCTTTCTTTCAGCAAATAATCCACGAATAAAAAATTATAGAATGGGAAAATAAAATTAAACTTGTTAATTTAAGTAAGTGTGTACTCTCAAGGAAACGAATATTTTGACTTTGACGCACATTAACTTGCATTATTGAGTCCATTTTCATGTGTAGCTTTCGACAGTGGGATCCACTGGATGGGCATAAACTTTTCCGTATCCGTTAAAGATTTGAAAGTATCTTTCTTTGTGCCAACGCATCTGTCTCGTTCCTGGCACCGTCTATTTTGAATATGATTTCTTTTGGCATTGTTTGACTGTCATGTGTGGATGTGCGCTTTTGTTGGTTGTCATGCGAGAATGTGCCAACAATCGTTCGACGCCTTGCGGCACTGCAACTGCAATAATATTCATTAACAAATTTAATGCTACCGTACCTTTAACGTCAGCCAGCACTTGCAATAATTTTCAAAGAGACGTGATGTTTGCTTTTGTTTAGAAGAAATGTCTGGACAACTTAGCTATTAAGATTACTTCTATTGTTGGGGATTCAAATTATGTTAAAAGGCAGATTATATGTAGTGAAATATTAAAATTTTGATTCTCTAAGTT